CGATACGAGTCGACAAACTTGTATATACAACAGTATATACGAGAGAAACAAAGTTGTATTCGGTTTATTCCTTCCGAAAATGACGAAAAAAAGAAAGAAGAGTAACGGGGGAGTAAATTAGGAGAGTGAAGAATCTATTCAACTATTTTATCGAATCGATGAATCTCGTGGAGATTTTTATGGTGCACGCGTAGACGATGATCGGACGCGAGGCGTCGAGGCGTCTTCCGCAATTAGGCGCTTCTATTCTCGTATCGAAAAGCAGGATTTCTGCCGATCGTGGCAGGGAAATGGGAACAGGGCGCTATTTTCGCGGGGTCACGTATTGTGATCCAGTTTTCACCTCGACCACCTCGAGCGTATTTTTGACAGCGCCTCTGAAAATCGTTTCGCGCAATTATCGCTCCTCTCCAATAGGGATCGGAGGATCGATTCCAGATGGAACCTCCCGCTGTCTTCCACTCGTCACGTTAATTATTTTCGTGTTCATCGTCCCGTGTACGTGTTAAACGGGCGATATATTAAAAACGTCCATCCAGTGAAATTACGTTCGTTTGATAATGGTGTTTAATGATCGGAGAATTATTGGAATTATCATTATTATTATTATTTCTTTTTTTTTTGGAGTATATTAGATATATTCGTTTGATACTATGAGCAAGATGCTTTTTTTTTTTCCTTCTTTTTTTAAGTATGTTTAACTTTTTCGAATATTTTGTCGCTTCTTGGAACATTCTGAAGTTGTAACGTAGAAACAATAGGATCGTTATGAAGTGAATTTATTAACCATTTCTCGCTTGTTTCTTCGTAGGAACTTATGGTAATAAAGCTCGTGTTTATAGCTTTCGTGTGTGTTGAATAAAATAACAGAGTACTTACAGGGAACGAAGTAAAAAGAAATAGCATTTCCTTTTGAAAAACGCTTTCATATTTCGATGTATATAGTTTAGAAAATATTGAATGTTTTTACTTTTAATATTTTATACGCATACACACACACACACACACACACACATATATGTATATATATTTATTATTTAACCAATGAAAAGACCGATGTCGACTAAAATACTCGAATGTCGAGTCTAATCTTAATAACGAGTGCGACTACTTTTTTTAAGTTGTGCAATCTATTCTAAATATCGCTAGTACTAATTTCTACATTTAAGTTTTCTTCCATTTAAAACTTAAGATAAGAAATATTTTCGATATCTTGATATCACATCTTGCAGTAATTGTATATATTTATGCAGATTGTTAGTTTCAATAGAAAAAATATTGCTGTCGTTGCTGTTCTTATTATTGATTTATTATTATTATAGAGAAATGATCGTTGTTAATCGTCGAAAACGCGAACTCGTGGGGTGAGATTAACGATTTTAACGACATAAAAAAAAAAAAAATAAGAAAAATTCACCTGCTCAATAGAGGACCGGATTCTCCCTTGAAACTGATCCTGCTAAACGTCCTCCTCTGAAAGTTGGTCAGGATTCCGCGTTTCTGCTTGTCGTTGTTGTCCCTTCCTCCCTCGTCCGCGGAGTCATCGCACACTTTTACCGGAACAGTGGTCGAAGGAACCGTCGAGTTCACCAGCAGCTCGTCCAGTACTCTGTTACTGTCTCTGATCGTATGCTGTCCCAATTCCTCGTTTGTTCCTTCTTTCCTCGAACAATTCTTTTCGCTCATTAGCATTTCGTTGAACGATCTCGATTTTCCCTCCTCCTGTGTCTCTTTTCCTCCCCCCGTATTTATATATATATATTTCCTTTCCCGGATGTACGAAGAGAAATATTTCACCTCGCGTCACGTTTAACGTTTAACGTTTCGATCCTTTTCTCCGTTCCCTTTTCTTTCTTTCTTTTTTCTTTTTTTTCTTTCAAAAAAAAAAAAAAATTATCGCACGGACGCGATTTTAAATTTTTCCCGCTTTTCAATGCGGCAGATAGATCGAAACGCTCGCTTTATCCGCGAGCGTAACGCGGTCATAAAAGTTTGCACGGTGATTTTTTTTGTTCTTTTTTTTTTCTTCTGCCGGCTGATTCACGGGTTGTAAATCCAACGATAATCTGAAACACGTTTTTCAACGTCGTAGCGCAGCAGCATCGCGTATGTAGTATGCGTCCAACGAATTTACGATCCGATAATCATCAAACTCTCTACTCCACTAACTCTTCTTCTTCTTCTTCTTCTTCTTCTTCTTTTGTCCCGCCCCTTCTAAATTCAAATTCATCCTTCCATCTCGCAATTCTTGCAATAATACGCGCCGAGCGTATTACTTTTACTCGAGGGAATTATTGCGCGATGCGCGCAAACTTTCTATTGGGAAAACTCGTTAACACCATCGATAATGCAGAGAGTCATGGAGAAGCGTCGATAGCACGCACCATCGTCGACAGTTCGCGGGGAGGGGGCGCGGAGCGGGGGCGGGGGGAGAGGGAGGGAATGTTAGAAAAATGACGCGTACCGTCAAAGAACGTCCCTTCGTTTCCAATGCTTCAAAAGTTTGAAATCCGTTTCACAAACGTCCCAAGTTCTACGGCCACCAAGTTCACGCATCGTGCGATTTCTCGTTTTACTATCGTTCTGCATGCTATCGTTTATTCTCGTCTTATTCCGTCATCCATTATCACTTTTCCGCATCCGTTGACCATCATGACCACGATAATATCATTCTCCCCTCTTCTCTGTTCACATGTGCACAACAATAACGTGATTCAAACGAGAGAAAGAGAGAGAAAGAGAAATAGAGAGGCAGAGAGAGAGAGAGAGAGAGAGAGAGAGAGAGAGAGAGAGAGAAAGAGAAATAGAGAGGCAGAGAGAGAGAGAGAGAGAGAGAGAGAGAGAGAGAGAGAGAGAAGAATCAAGATATAATTCTAATCAACTTTTCCACTTCGAAGGAATACTCTTACGCGTACAACCGGTCCGAGATTCCTCTTCGTCACGACTCAACGACGGCACGTTGGTGTAGAACGCATGAGGCGAACAACAAGCGTATTTGTCCAGTTGTCGGCGTTTCCGTGCGCAGATTGCACGCTATTTCCAGCAACCGGGTACACGAGATACGGCTCCTCACCATCCTCGTAAAGAGGATCATTCATAATTCTCGGGGACAGCTTCTTCCGTTCGCCTCGACCCGTTATCCCGTGCACCGGTTAACCGTGCACTTTAAACGTTGCATAAGAATTCGTCCGCGTGTCACATTGGTCTCGTATCGACCGCGATCACGATCACCAGCGAGCTCCTTTTCCTTTTCCTCCTCACCCTCCTCCTCCTCCTCCTCCTCCTCCTCCTCCTTCTCCTCCTCTTCCACCTCCTCTCCTCCCTGTTGATCCTTCGATCCTTCGAGGAGGATACTCGAGGAGGATCCTTGGATCCAGGCGTCGAAGCACTGACCGATCGGTGGCTTCGGAGGCCGGCGAAAACTCGTTCGGAACCTGTCAACGCGAGAACCACTTCTGAGATTGCGTGCGCCGCGGTATAAGCGAAAATAATCCACGCACACGCGCGCGCTCGCGCTCGGACACCCACACTTGCTGCGGGCCGAATGTGTTTAACGCTATTTCGTTGGATACTTTACGAGTATTGTGCACGTTGGATAAATGTTGTAGAAAAGCACGCACGAGCGCGTGTATCAAACGGCGAACGCGCGCCTCTGTGTTTGCGCGTGTACGTGTGGGAAAATGCGTCACACTGACACGCGGGTCGCATGGAAATAGAGCCGTGTACGAGCATAGCGGCGGTAGAAAGACTTGACATGTGGGCAGAGTCGGAGATAAGATTATGCCAGGTTGCTATAGTCTAATGTTTTCGACGTGGATTTTTATTATTGTAATTGTCCGTGGTATACTCTTTCCCCTCCCCCCCCCTCCCCTCCCCTCTCGTTTTTTTCGATGAAAAACTTCGATATGTACACGAGGTTATGGCAGAGGTTCGCAAGCCCGTGGCTGTTGTAAGTTTGATTGGATGGAAGAGAATTTTGCCACGACTGCGTGGATTGGCAAGAACAATTGGATTGTTGTAGGAAAATATTTTTATAGTCTCTGCGGAGTAGATATTTTTAATACGAATGAATAGAAAATGGACGAGTACGCGAGAGAATCGTGGAAAATGATTTCTACGCGATTGGAATTGACATTTGTTTGATGAGTAGGGAAAACAAACGATTTATATGCGAAAACCTATGAATTTTGTTTATTACGACAAGAGACTTTGTAGTTAACACGTACGCTCTCGGTGTGATGGAATTTGTTGATTTGTAGCAAACGGTTGGCAAACGGTTGTTATTCAGTAAAGAAATCAATCCGATAAAACTGGTAACTTTATTTTTATTTCGAAAAAATTTTCTTTCTCGTTACGAGCAACTTTTTTGCTCGATCATGTAATTATTCACGTAATTATAATTTATCATAATACAATAATCCATACTATTTTCGTTCTGAACGTTCTTTTAATTCTATTCATTGTTTAGGTTAAAGAAAAATTGAAGAAAAATATCGAATTATGGAAAAAAATGAAAATGAACTTTGTTGAATTTTTTCGTCAATATCTACACTACTAGTGGCAGAAATAGAAAAAGGAGTGCTATGTACGCCTCCTCGTTCGCCAACACGTCAGTACATGTCACACTACATTCTCCTGACTGGCGTAAGCGGCACAAGTGGCTTTATACATATGTATGCAATGTAAATAAGTGAGTATGTAATGTAAACGGTGCGCAAAAATACCCGTAATACTAGATTATTGCTACGACGAGGTACCAAAACACATTGCCGATAAGTCCCAACTTATTTTAATTAGTTTCCGTTAAAAAACAAGATTGCAACATAGGTGATGGAAAAACGTTTTAAGTGGAGATTGAAATTTAACTTGGGCGAAAAGACAGAGTTATTCCTTTGTGTGCTATTTCCTTTTTTAACACTGTGTTCGAATGAAATTTATTGGCATCGTTATATTATCGTTTTTTATCTCTTTTCGATATTTATGAGAATATAGAAATAACATCTTATATTTCGGTTTACAATTTCAAGCGGTTGTACAAACGAAATGGTCAGATGTCTTTTATCTTTTAATGTAGAAACTGGTTACTACGCTCTGGAATCTCATAAACGGAACGAGTTGAATAAATAATAAAAGACCCGAGTTCTCGAATGGAGATTCAGAGCGTGATATAGTCATTATTTTTGTTGCAATTATGAGGATAAATATTTTTCATACAAACAGCATTCGTACATCTGCCGCCATCTGGACAGACGCCGTACAGTCTTGCAGATGGCGCAACATGAACAGTTTCAGTTTCGAAACATTAGAATTTGTGGCAGAATATTCGATTCAAAGTTTTTTGTGAGAAAAAGAAAAAATGTGAATGATTATGAAACGTTAACGAAATTGTTTGAATTATAAGAAATCGATGACTTGATAATATATACGGGAGACAGTTTTATAAGTTACTTTAAAAATTACAAGATTTTCGCAACTCAAGATTCAACAACTCTACATAAATATACAAGTGCATATATACAATATTGGAAGAGATTCAAAGAATATAACTAAAAGAAGACGAGACTAAAGTTAGTTAAATTAACATAAGTATTTATTATCTAAAATTTCATCATTTTATACATATATACATATATACATATATGTTTTATACACAATGTTCCTAATCTTTAATGATATTTCTAATTTTAAGTTCCATTGAAAGAAATGCTTTCATGTTAGGATCTTGTATTTTGTCCATGATTAATTTTTGTACATCTACGTCACTTTCTTTGAGAGTAGCACTTAATTTTTCTGCGTATTGAATCCATACACAATTTGCGCATCCAGACATGCAACAATTCGTAGGTTCTGATAAATCATCTATCGAGGAATCGTTGTTATTTTCATTATTTTCAGTAATTTTTTCCTCGGATGATAACGTTGATGATGTTCCATAGACAGATTTTTTAAAATATTTTTGTTGACAATTAACTCTTTTATTTTTGATAATTAATCGAGAAAATTGAATTAGGTTCATCACTATTTTATCACACCTTGTAGTTTTACCTGGTTAAAGAAAGAATGAGAAATACGTAATAAAAATAAAATGATAGAATCATTGTTATTTATGTAATTAGCGTTTACAATACAATAAAATATTTTAATGAAATATACGAATTAACGAATTTATAGATGATTGGTTCAAAATATTTAGTAAAATATCAAAAACTACTTCCTAACCTCGTTGGTCACTACAATCATAAACAATATACAATATAGATTTAAAATCCAATATATTTTTTATATTAGATGTGTAGATAATTTTAGAATCTTCTCATCATTTTACGTTATCCATTGAGTTGGAAATAAAATTAAATTTAAATTTTAATACACGAGATATATTAAAGTTAATAACATAATTTAATTATAAATTTTGTGTTTATTTCATATTCAAAATTGTTTAAATTGTTTATTGATTTTATGATTAAAAAATTACTATTTAACATTTTGAATATGAAACATCATCGCGCGTCATTTATATTTTCGAGTAGACAAATGTCGACCACGTGAAAATCGTGTCTCGTTGTTTATCGAAATTCGAAATGGGTCGAAAAATCCCAGGAAAAAAGCACAGAGGTGTGAAAGATCCTTTTAAACAACAGGCAAAACGTCAGGCAGAGTGAGTTGTGCATTAACTATGTTTTATTCTCGAATTACTTACATAGATTAGTGAACTGCCTATTATAGGTTAGAAACAAAAATAAATGCACCGCCAAAAGATGTGAACGAACAAGCTATACCGAAAAGTTTAGAAAAAATAATAGAGTTAAAAGAGGCAGTGAAATTGGGAAAAATAGGTAAAATAAAAAAAAGGAAGAAGAAGAAAAATAATCTTATATCCGTTGGTAAACAAGAATCTAAGCCTTTACATCCAAAGGCTAGACCAGAGAAAGTTGTTCCTATATTTCAACAAAGGCCTGGAGAATCTGAACAACGATTTTTACATAGAGTTAATCGAGATACGCAAGTTTTCATTAATGAATTTGCTTTTGAGAAAAAATATGATGTTCAAGTTAATCGAAATCCAGAAACAGGAAACATCGAAGGAGTTTCAAAATGTGAACAAACTGAATTAGACAAAATTGAAATGTTGAAATCGAGTCATAAAAATATTAAAAAAAAAAAAAAAAACAGCGATATCAATAAGATCAAAATGACTAAAACTGAAAAGAAGAAGGAGAAATTGAAATTGAAGAAAGAGAAACAAATGGAAGAAAAATTAGACGAATTTGATAATTATAAAGATCAAGTTGAATTTGGAGAAGTGGTTCATGAACCACCTCAATTAAAAATTAAACCAAAAAATGCTAATGCTATAAATACCTCTAAAGTATGTTTTTTAATTTAACAATACATTTTTTTTTATTTTTTAATGCATTTTTAATATTTTTCAATATTTTTTAAATATTGATGAAAAATTTTTTTAATTTTTTGCTACAGCCTGGTAGAAAGAATCTTCTTCTTTATTCAATGCTCAAAAAGAATGAAAATTCAAAGTTGGAGAATGCTAAGACGAGAATGACTATAGATAGATCAGGAAAACGTAAAAAATTACCACTTGGAGAAAGAAGACAGTTAGAAAAACAACAGAATGATGTTATAGCAGCATACAGAATATTGAAAGCACAAAAATCTGCTGGTATTAACTAGGGTATGTAAATGATTATAAAATGTTATATTTTTATGTAGATTTTTTTTTTTATATTGTTGTTTTTTTACAAGATTGCTATGAATCGTTTTATTGTAATTGTGAAATTTACTTTTATTTTAATAAAATGTACAATTTTTTTATCATAAGTAAACTGTATGTATTTTTGAAGCATCACATTATTTTTTATACAATTATACAATTATTAAGATTAACATGAAAATAGACGTATATGTATATATTTATATATATATATATATATATATATATATATATTTATATAGACAAGATTTCTGTGCAACACATGTATAGGTACTAGAAATTTTTTCAAATAGGGATTATTAGTAAATTATTAATAAATAACTTCATCATGTTTGATAAAAAAAACAAAACAAATTTTTAACAAATTTTGTATCGAATTAATTCAAATTATCTCTTAGCACCAGTGCAATGTGTGATTTTCCAAAACTACATTCAATGTACTTTTTAATATGAATTTTATCCAGTAGTCCATACAAATGGTTCTAATCTATCTTCAATTGGTAAAAGATTGTTCAAAGTTTCAAGGCTTTCTAGAGTTTGATTTAGAAGAGAATGGCATTTAGTTAATTGTTTACTAAGCTCATGTATTTTGTTCAGTTGTTCAGCAAACTTGGCAAATTTTTTTTGCCTTTCTGTTGCCAAATTAAGAATTTTGGTCACTTCTGGTTCGATATTAATGCATAGACTAGCTTGTTCAGTGGCAATCATTTGAGCATTAGTGTTCAGATGATGTTGATAACGTGCACACAGATTAAACAGGCCAATAGGATTAAGTCTTTCTAGGACCTCTGGATCTCTTACACCTGGAGGCAAATTGAGAGTGCCACGCATGATAGGTAGGAACATGGGAATACTTTGTAATTTAACCAAATCAGGATCTTTGTCAGCTGTAGGATCTGCCACAGCTGATTTCACTACTACTATATTGTGTATTTTATCAGAGGTAGTTTTTCTGTAAGAATTATTATTCAAATAAAATATATTAAAATAGACAAAATCATAATTAATTATAAATAATTATATATTACCTGTAGCTACTGGTATTTAAATTATTTTTACGTCTAGATATATCTTGTGCACCCAAACTCTTGCCTCTATATAACTGTGATTGCTTATTTGTCATCTTTGGTGAATCTCCAATAGGTCTATTCACAGTATAAGATATATATGGTAAATCAGAATCTGAACAAATGCTTGCACCAGGACTGGTACATCTAGGTGGTGTGTCTTCCGGTACTCTTTCACGATTCGGTACACTTTTACCGCGTCTCAATGGTATATTTCTTGTCCTATTAGCATTGGTATTGTGAGTACCACCCTGAGAGCTCTGTTCCGATCCCATCTTGTTTGATTCTTTTAAAAATTTACTCTAATCTTTCTACAAGAATTACGTCAATTATATAAACGATATACATTAATCTTCCGTCTCACTACGAAAATTGCGTATAATTATTTTATAATTTATAAATATAAACATCTGATGACAAGAATAATTATAACAATAATCGTCAAGTTAAATTTAAGGCCATCTGACGTCGTTCGTTTTTATATAACCTTTCAATTAACGACTGATTAGAAGAGCACATTTTTATTCACTCCACAATTCAGGAGCTTCATAATAATCAATAACGAAAGAAAATTTAAAGAAAATTTTCTCGATACATCATGAAACTTTGGTTTTCCCTTGATCGTGTTGTCACCTCGATATTATTAAAAAATTAATTATACCGATAAATACTATAATATAATCACTTTGAACTCGGTTTTTAATTTCTGTTGTCAAAAAGTCGTTTTAATCATTGATTGTTCATGCTGCTAGATTTCACGTGTCGTAGTCATTTACACGATGAGAACACCATCTGTTGAAATGGATTTCGAACTCGAAGGTACAAATATTTCTTTTCGCTTGATAATGTAACTCTCTTTTAAAAAGT